GGGATGGGTGAGATTGTTAGATGATGTAAGAATTGAAGAGACGCAGAGCCCAAAAGTGCCTGGCACCCCCCAACTACATTTTCACCTGACTTATCATAGCCTCTCACGGGAACCTGATCGATAACTCGGGGAAAAGTCGATACACCGAAATCCGCTCCGACATGGGCTCATTTACGGATGTGAGGATTGCATTTGTGCTGCACCAGTGGAGAAATACACTGTGTTTTACATTAATTTGTTTATTAATAAAATACATAAATGCCTGTGTGAATCCAAAAGACGTTGATCATGGCTCAAACGAAAGGCCACAAGAAAAGTCCTGGGGAGAATTTTATTCGATTATGAAATACGTTCTTTGAAATGTCGACCTCTTGAAGGAAGCTATTGTGTCACTACATTCCCTATCCTTTTTTGGTTCGTAAACCTTTTGAGATCGAGCTATTTAGTACAGCGAGAAGTCGTGAGATTGGAGGTTAAGTCAAGTCCATTATCAAGCTATCTAATCGAAAGAAAAATTATTAATTTCGCAATAAAAACAAATGGGAATGCACCCGAGTCGCACCGGGTTGAGAACAATGGTGTGGGGACGCTAGGAACGCTGTGGACCCTGCGAACGGCCATCGCTAATTTCTGGCACCCTCCTCGATTCTATCACACTATCGCCGTTCATTATCTTATTTGTGGTTAGCCCAGAAGACGACACGAACTGGTACCGTGCCCTCGCCGTACCCATCCGAGGTCAGTGGAACAGTGGCTGTGCCACCACCTGGCATTGGCCGTGACGGCGTTCCCCCCGCTATCTCTGGCACACAGCCAAAATTGCCGGTCACTCAGTTATTGGCGACTAGCCAAGGGGATTTTTTGTGAACGTGGTACGAGCCGTTAAGGTCATCGTACCAGTTACCGTATGACACAAGCTGGGACAAGAAGTCATCGTCGGCATCGCTTTAAAAAGTCTCAATGGTAATAAGGAGTGCCTTATGACAAGTAGACATGACAGTGAGGGACCTCCTTCGATAAGTAAGGAAGGGGCGTCAAAAATGAAAAAAGAAAAGTTTAGCAAAGTCAACTGAAATGAGTGGACCAAATGCTCTGAATCTTGAGTGAGGGCTTGAAAATGTTTGCTCGAATAGGTCCCTGCAAAAACCGTTAAACAAGGGCAGCAATAAAAAAGCCTTGGGCTTACCAGAGTCTGCTTTTAGATGGCACACAAGGACGTGCATGGTCACTGATCAAATCCCTACATGACTACCTAATGAGCCACCCAGGCTTCCATCCGTCTAAAATTGGGAAGCTTGTTTTTAGACTTGTGGAGCGGTTGGTTTGGGCTCATGTCAAATGCTGAGCAGATAAACCGGTCATGAAGCTTGTGTATAAGCCTGAAATATTCGCTAATCTCTGAATTCTAGGCGATTTTATTGAAGACATCCTTTATCTTGTAGAGCAGGAGAGCAGCCGTTACGTGTTTGAATATTTTCAAAGAACTGGCCTAAGAATTGATGGATGGGCAGACAACAGCTCGACAAAATTTCTGGAAGAAGTTTCCACCAAAGAAATTCTCTTGGATTTGCCTTTTTTGAAAGGTCACTAAGCTGTTGTCACTTCCAACATGAAAAAGATTCTCGGAAGGTATAACTGTAATAGTAATGGATTAATATAATAATGGATCAGTTTGGCCCCACTCCGACCCTACTAAACCCAAAGGATAATTGCGACATTCTCAGGAATTTCGACGCAAAATTTACTTATAGAAGTAATCTAACATGTAAGTTCCTATCCACAGAAGTTAGGACTAGGGTAAGCCTAGTGTTAAGTATTACAGATGTAAACAGACGCGAGAAAACAAGCAATTCTACCCGACAGAAGCACTAAAAGCTTCGAAAAACCTACTCCTTGATGATTATGAGTGGTTCAGGTTGACTGATTCGCCGTTGATTCTCTTTTGCAGATGTCTTACGAGTGGCCTCCTTGTGTACCCCAATTGCTTTCAGCCCACCTAGACTCAGTAAGTGGTAACTGCAGAATTCCGCTTCCTTCAGGTATTTCGGGACGTTCAACTGAAGCACTAGCCGTTGTTGATGTTGATGTTTGTTTAGTTCTCTGTTTATCTTTACCACGATCGTAACTCAAGCTTTATCACCGAGCATAAATGTGAGTCTACAAGGGGTAAGGGGTAAGTCTATGCTGCGGAATCATAAAAATCGGGACGATTCTGGATAGACTGACTATCGTTTCCAACCTGGGAGGAATTCATCACGTTTGAAATAAGGAATAAATGGATAGGCCGTTCCATGCCCTGTCTACGCACCTCCTTGGTTTGGTCTGGACTTCAGAAATATTCTAATGCGTTGTCTTTCAGCGAGGAGTTAGGATCAGCCAAAACATTGTTGCCTTGGATGCCTGTCTAGGTAAGTAGTAGTAGCCAAGTGGCACAGAGTGTACAGAGTTTATTTTCCTCTCTTTTCTTTGCTGCAGAACTCAATGGATATCATCGTTCCAGAACCGCACTTCCTCTTATCCTCGTAACCCGCCTTACAATTCCACCGGCAGATGTACGAGCGTTGCTCCAAGTCCCTGAGGGTCTTGAAAACCAGTTCGATGTATCTTCTTTTCAGTTTGTCACAGCTTCCTTCACCCAATTCTCCTCTTTGATGTCATACTTGCTTTTTTGATAAACTCAATAGTTATGCTTGCTAAGATAGGCTTGTGATGCGAAGTCGTTTCTTCAGTGGACAGTACTTTGAGATCCTTCTCAGTTTTGAGGAGCGATCCTGGTACAGGTTCAGTTTGTCCCCTTACACTACTGTAAATTACCCTCCGAATCCCTTTTTTCGCGAAGAAGCTTCTGCAGACTGCTAGGTCTTGGGCCGAAGCCAATTCGAGGACCCTCTCTTCTTCTCCGTTTCTGACTTCTTTTTCTCTAGCTCTGTTAACCCTTTGTGGGAGCCACCGCGCTCTGCTAACGTGACCACTCTTATCGCCTGCTGCGGTAAGGCAGTTCTCCTTCTGGAACTGATCTGATGGCATCGTCTAAGTAAAAATAGAGCTCGTCCTTTTCGATATACTTGCAGCCACTGCACTTTATAAAAACGAGCACATATATCTTCACGAGAAGCGCTGCAAACAAAAGCAACGTGTGGTGTATCGCATCCGCTATAGAGAAATGTCTTTGATTTTTTGAATGTTTGCATCATGTCACCTCTGGGGATCTCGTGTGGAAGTGTTTCTACCTAAATTCCCACTGCAGCTGCAGCAGTTTCGTCCCAAATACCATAATCTCCCACCAGTTTCCAAATATTCTTTCCCACAGCACGAACAGAGACGACGATCGCGTAAAGCTACTCAGGTAGGAGAACCCACACCCACGGATCCGTTGTTAAAACATTAAACATGCCTACCCACTGTCACTACAAGTAAAGAAGCAATAAAAAGAATTTTATGCAGTGAACGATATTACGCGTAGTCAGTATTTATAGAAGCCTTCTTTTGTCTTTCGGCCGAGTTTTCCTTCGTGGACGAGCCGTTCCAATAGTGGAATTGGTGCAAATCGCGTGTCATCCGGCATTGATTCTCGCCATACTTGAACATAAGTCATTAAATCCGTTACAAAAGTTCTGCGAAAAATTTCAAGAAAGAGCGTGGTTTTTGAAAATCCCCCGGACCATTAAGATCAAGAAAGAAAGCCGTAACTACTTAACATGGATGCTCTCAGACTGGTATACGAGGACACTTGGCCATCCCTGACTTAGCTGCAGTGCAGTTTTTCGATTGAGCGATTTCCTCTCCGGGTAAGTACTTGGTAGGGTTTTAGTTGGCAGCACCATCGAGGTACGACGGATGAATGATAACGGTGTAGAAATAAGCACGTACTGTAAATCGAGTGCAGGTTAACCCATCCCTCTTATGAATTCCCTATAACCAAACCTAATAAAATGGGTAAAGCAAAACAGTCTCTATTCAAGAATATGACCGTCCCTGATCTCATTGCAAAAGCAAATATGCCAGATACTCCATCCTATGAACTGGGAATGCAAGGTGCATGTGGGAGGATCTCACCTGTCATTACATTTGAAAGAGTGTCAAGACCGACGTAATCACACAATGCGATTGGACCCATCGGACATGATGTGCCGTAACGGAGAGCTGAAACGAGGGTATATGAAAAAGCAAGTACAGATAAATGTGTGATTAACAGCAAGCGCCATGCTTCTCAACAGCTTCTGTAATCACCCACCAGCATCGATATCTTCTTTGGTGGCGTCTCCTCGCTCGAGCATTCGGATACTGTCGAGAAGGTAGGGAATGAGCAAGCGATTAACAATGAATCCTGGTGTATCCTTAAAAGGGCTTATTTGTTANTCTGTAATCACCCACCAGCATCGATATCTTCTTTGGTGGCGTCTCCTCGCTCGAGCATCCGGATACTGTCGAGAAGGTAGGGAATGAGCAAGCGATTGACGATGAATCCTGGTGTATCCTTAAAAGGGCTTATTTGTTATTTTGCTCTTCTCAATTACTTCTTGATATGCAGTCCGATGTTTGCTTGGGAGAACGGCACCCTGCCGTTCGAGGTACACTAGATGGATCCATTCACCAAAGCTTTCAATCTTAGCAGGGTCGGTTACTTCCTGGCAGGCCGGATTCGAAACGGTAGCTAGCTCGTACACCGGTTGGTCCCCACATATGCCAAAAATATGCACGCCCTAAGCACCTGATGAAGTGATGGGAAATGTGTCACTACGGATGGTCCGCGATTGGCCACTTTCTCGGAACCCGTGGATGATTCTAAGCGGTAGAAAAAAGCGCGACGCAATTTATATCCAAATCACGAGCGCTATCTCAATATGACTGTACAACAGGAAAAGCAGCTCTTACTTAAAGGTCCCTATGTTTCCCACTTTGAATTCAAGAAAAGCTAAGAGAGCTCACAAACCTTGCACGAAACTGGCTTTTTTCCCAAAGATTTGCAGAAATCCATTAGCTTTTGCTGGGTTTCTTTCGATGTTTCCGGAGTGCTGACCACCTCAACCAGCTTCATTACTGGCACTGGATTGAAGAAGTGTAAACCGGCGAAGCGGGAATGATCACGGATTGTTGGCAGCAGATCGACCAGACTAATTGATGATGTGTTTGTGACTAGAAGTGCGCCTCTGTAACGAAATGAAGTTACAGTTAGTCTTTCAGATGACCAGGTAATACCAATGTACATAGGGGTATATGGGTTATCTATCCACATAATATCCATCTATCTATCGCTCATGTGCTCACCTATCGACCTCATCGACCTCCTAGAAGCATGGTGGGCGAGGCAAGGTCGTCGTCGTGCTGTACATACCTCTGAACCCCTCCCCGCTCCCCCGTCAATTAGTCGGGTCGATCTTGGTCTCACTGATTCATTGCTACGGCGACATGGTCCCGAAGTTAACTACGACAGTGACGCCAACTCTCTTAGGTTCTATCAAGATCTAATAAAAAGAACTCACGGTGGGCAGTGAATCTGAGCTTCAGTGAAGATTTCATCTTTGACTTCTTTCTTTTCTACAACCGCTTCAATAACGTACAAGGCGTTTGATACAGTTTCACGAATATCTCCACAAAGCTTGAGTTGTCCCATTTGGCAATCAACTGCTTTTTCCACTGTGTCCTGAAAATAATTGCTCAGAAACAGTAGAGTTACCCCGATTCACAAGACCCGCCATGAAGACAGAAACAAAAGTTCGGCATGGGCATTCAGCTCTTACAGTGACTAATACAGCTCCACCAATCATCCCGCTTCCTTGCCCAAGCCCCCTTCTCGACGCGTCCTATATCTAACGGGTTAGAATTTGCTTATTAAAACGGGGTTATGTCGTGCCGGGTTATTGTAAGAGCCGAGTGACCAACTGAATTTCGCTCCTGTATCATAAAGAACGAGTCCCGTATTCGGAACGAGCACTTAGGGAAGCAACCGGAGCTGGGCTTACCTACATAAGAGCTACCTGTTCTCAAACTTCTCAAGATCGCGTTGTACAAATGAAACAAAATAATTTGTCCGAGGGGATGGAATATCGCAAATACGAAATTTTACGCAACTCGGGCCAAGCGATTGGGCGGTATCACATGGACCTTAAGACTCACAAGCTAAACGGAATGTGAAGTGGTCAACTTTCAACTAAAAAGCAGTTAATTACATATATCACGAGTGCAATGGAAAGGATTCAGCCTTTTAGTTCAGCTTGAAGCGAGTTTTGTAACGAGAACAACTTGAGCTACACTGAGTGTTTAGTGGAAAATGAGATGAGAAAGGGACTCACCACAGGTGAAATTTCGTCTCCCTGTTTCTTTGAGGCGTTCTTGACCAAACCACGCCGTATTTGGTCCTTAGCCGCTACTCGTGCCTGATCACTTCTTCCATATAGATTGACACTGTAGCCAGAGGCAAGGCACACCTGAAATAAACGAGTAAATTGGTCGGGGTGAACAGTTTTCGTCTGTAGCTGTGAGGGAGATTTGGAGACATGGCATGTGGAAACGAGCAGGGGCGATTCTATCGTCAAGGTTATGGTGTTACGTCGCATACTGAGAGTGCGACATGTTGCCATGTAGCAATGAAGCCGAATTTCATCGTACTAAATCGTAACGATTCAGTGCACTTCGTCTTCATAGCCCTTACATATGTATTGAAGAGTAAAGAGAAGTAGTGAAGATCAAATGCATAGTTTACGGTAAAAATGGTTCCCGAGATTACTGGAAAGAGCCTGTGACACCAAAGATAAAAGAACGGAAGCTGCTCGGTTAAAATTGGATAGGATAAATCCCACTAATACCGGCTTAACCGACATACACACCCCGAGGTGGACGAGTACTCACGGCCTTCTAGAGGCTATGGAGGGAACGCATTCGCACAGGCACGTACACGTTGCATGCAGGCAGCTTACTGTAGCCAGCTGTACGCAGTGGCACACACATTTGGACAGCTCATACAAATACTCCCTTCTTACAACTTTGTCGTTCCATACTCCTCCAACTACTGATTTTACTATCTTTTTGAAGCCTTATATTGCTCTAAATAGCCGATTTTCGCGTTTTCTTCGGTACTTTTGCACTGATGTGGACTATCACTATTGGTCTGAAACCAGATCCCTCGAAATTATCGTAACCTGCTTCTTCAATAGAAACGAAATTTGAGATTCGTACAAGGCATTGACCTAGTTTTCCATTGGTTGTTCAATGTTCATAATGTTCATTGCTACATGTCCACTTTCACTTGCAACTTTTCTTGGGAAAAGCGCTGGCGGCAATAAAGTCAAAGGGGCGACAAGATGAACGCATCAAAGCCCCATGATTGCAGAGGAGGACCAACTACATACCTTGAAAACTTGTAATATTAAAGACAAAGAGAATATTAGCCTACCTGTGCAATGCCGCTGCCCATCAAACCACATCCGATGACGGCGACAACGTCGCCGTTGTGATTCTGTGGCTCTGAGGTGGCGGAGACCATGATATAGTGAAGCTCGGGCTTCTCCTTGCATGGGTTTTATAGACTGTCGGAATAGGATGCATGCAGTTGAACAGTGTTCACGTGAACGCCATTTATTCTTATCAAGCCTTATCGAATTTCATTGCATATGAATTTGATCGCACCATATGTGGGCTGACCATGAAGCAATGAGAAATCACCTGTTGGTGTCACCTTAGAAGTTCACGATAGCTCCACAAACTCGAACTACATTTCGTAGCATCAAAAGGCAGATCCTTAGGTGATTTCGTTCATAGCTGGCCATTGATATCATTCTTCTCAATGGAGAAAAAAATGCATGCAAGTGTGCATTTTGTTTCGGCTTAGTGGTTCAATTCTTTTTGAGAAACTAGGCTCCTTTGGGCCCTGTCCCCCACAAGCCCCCCACAAGCAGATGAAAGCTGAAGTCAAAGTACCAGGGCTCATCTTAGTGGATAATGTTAAACAGCACTGCTCAAGGTTATGATTTTTTNTTTTTTCGGGATTGCTTCATTTCGATGCCCGATTTTGAATCTTTAACTAATGGCGCTATGATTCCCACTTTTGCTCTTATCAGTAGGTGGTCATTGGCGTGGTGGTTCGCCCACCCCCCGCCACCCTCCGTCAAAGAGCATAGAGTATACACAAGATCGGTGAACAACTGAAGCAAAAAAGTACTTGAACACTCGATTGCCTGAAATTATGGTTTCACTGAAAAAATTCACAGCCGAGGCACCAAGAAATGTATGCACGATGGCCATTGCAATGTGCAGGTTTACTGTACTCAGACTCGGTTAATTAAATTATACAACTGAACTTCAACATTTACAAGACATCAACTGTAAAGATAGTGAAAAGCACGATTCACGATAATTTTGAGGTATTTATTTTTAGTGAAATAATGGAAGCTGTAGTGACAAAAAAGGCGAAAATTGTTCGACCTCAAAAAAGTAGCAAGAAAGGTGGTTGTTCGGAATGGTTGTCTGGGTGTCTCTCATTTAAGCGTATTATTTGTCTCGTCCTGTGAATAGTACACTAACACCAGCTCCGGCATAACACGGCCACTTCGAGTGTCTGCGCCGTTTTTCGGTCTAACAACGGCCCATGAACTATTACTGGGGCCACAGATTCATTCTAGCAGACATCTAAGAAACCATTGTTATCGTAAACTGTGCCTTAAATGGCATGCAAAGACGTTCACGGAAAATCAATTGATACCAAGTACAACTCTATAAAAAAGTACGACATGGTGCACGACGACAAAAGACCTATTTATCTGAGAAGTTTGTCTGGATGGCAAAAATGGGAGAGTTGAGGACTTATGAAACAGGATGTCCTAGAAAGGCAATATTAAATGTCGATGACTAATGAAGACATATCACTAAAAAACGAAAAATACGTAAGCGTTATATCCAAACTTTGATAACATTTGTGACAGCCAACAAGCGGTAAAATTGGCAAAATTGCCAGGTGCAAAATGTTGCTCTTTTCAATTCTCTTACGAATCATCGTTACGCAACGACGATATTCAGGCCGGAGCATGCTAGTACAATGGCCTCTGTAAGTACTGGTAGGAAATAAGAGCAATGAAATATAGGAGCATTCATCTTCAACATCAGCTTCTTCACGTGACACCCAAATGACTTCCACGACCATGACAAGTGAGAGGGCTTGTGGAACTACGAACAACCATTGACAGTGTAGGTCGACACGATAAATTCGGACAGCTCTTCAGACGTTCTTCTAAAGCCACCTTTGACGTTTTTTAGACAACATTCCCATAGCCATATGAAACGCTTGAGACTACCCTTCTCAGTAGCTTGTCTGTTGTGTTCTGAGGAAGAGAACTTCTCCAATCTCAGAACGGCGTGCAGCGAGCAACATCTTCCTAACTCGGTGAGTCTGATGACGTCGCATTGATCTTCCTAACTTCCTTCAAGAAATCTTCCATACACTCTTCCGATGCAAGCTTTCGTACATTGGAAGCGTAGACCGCCATCTTAGTCCTTCCTCTCTTCAGCAGCCTGTTATGTCACAGACATTGGACGAGCAACGTCATCAATATTTACTAAGCGTGATAAAGCGTCGCTCTTTTATGTCAAAAAGTGAGTTTGAATCACTGCAGATTCGCAGTAAAAACCCCATAGAAAGTCTGAGGCAGCACTACTGCTCACTTGTGGAGCACACACAAAAAATTCGTAGACAAGTTTATTCCAAAGATATGTACACAATACCAATTTGAAAAAGTACAGGGCAAAATATCCCCAAGACAGTGATGGTAAACAGAGTTTCTTGCTCTAAGTGCACGCTGATATGTACATTTTCTTGTGATCCTTTCAAGAAAATAAAAAGTTGAATCATTCAAGCAGAAATAAAACAGGACAGCAAAGAATATTAGATGTACACGCTGGATGGATGGGTGGATGGGACTGCTGAGGTTGCTGGCAAACCGAGGCTTCTCCTATGGTGAAAGCTGTAAAGGGATTGGGAATACTTTCTAAAAGGGCGTCAACGTAAGCATGGTGACACCATTCTCGAAACGCCATTTCACAACCTATTATCAACCCATATAATGCCTCTAGCGACCTCCCTCGTATTGCCGGTCATATCATAATTCTGTGTGCCAGAACTCTTGCAAGACGCATAAGGTGGTTTTCAATCACAAAAAGGTAAGCAGTCAGCATTTTTTCTGGGTGACCGGCAGGAAACTGCGAAAGAGCAAGGCACAAAGAGGAGGACCTGTATATAAGAGCTCTTGAGAAATCTTAGTATGTTCACAACAGTCGCTAAAGGAGCAGTTCATTTTTAAAATAGCTTCTAAGATCTCTTCCTAGATGAACCAGTAACCCCTAATGATAGCTTGTGGGACGCTGTCGGGCCGAATACAGTCAAAATAGGCGTGATAAGGGCCTTAAAACCGGTTTAGCCGACGTATACACCCAAGGCGGGCGAGTAAGCGTTGTAAAAGATGTAGGGGTTGCACCATTCGCACCCGGACCCACACCTTGCACGCAGGCAACGTACCGCAACAAGCAGTGTGCAATGGCACGCGCCTTCGAGCAGCTCGTCCAAATACCACTTCCATGGAACTTCTATGGCCACATCGTCAAACCTCTAATTTTACATCTAATTCAAAGCCTTATGTTTTTCCAATTACGCAGATTTTCACCTTTTTCTCGCCCCTTTTGCACTATTTCAGTCTAACACTTCCACTACTCGTCTATGACTAGATAACCCAAAATTGTGAACTGTGCCTTTGAGACTTTTGGTACGCCTCGGAAATCGAAGAAGATGCCCAACTTAGAAGGGGAAATTGGGGAAACTCGATCTGGACATTACAGAAGAACAAAACAAATAACAAACTCGCACTTGATGACAAAAAAAACTGAGCCGTATTATCTAAGATACGAATACATATGGGCAAGGGAATGAGTAACTGAGGTAGAGTGTCTTACTCTAGGGTCGCCACTGTAATGAAACTGGTCAGTTCCACAAAGGTGCAGGAAATGTTCACTATCTTATAATGTAATGAATAGAACGTTAGCTACTCTCGAAGGGACTAGTTAAAACATTTTCAAATATGAGGTTCGAAACAGATCACACAGAAATGGTCTAGAAAACATGCTCACCTCATGAACAACACGCAGATAGCAGTATGAATGGTAACAAATTGCAAGAATTGAAATGTTGGACGAGGAACGGGTCAGGCCGCTCTACAAAATTCATTCCATTCTCATATAAGACCTTGCCAGCCCTCCATAAGTGAGCCTATAAACCCACTCTTAAGAATATAAATCCGAAAAATTATAAATCTATAAATCTGTTCACAATGGTTCCGAGATGGTCTCAAATCAGAAAAATCTGTTGACAAACTAACTAAACTACTGAATCCATAATGTGATCTCTTTAGTCCAACTTGAAGAGATAATGGAGAAGAGAAATACCCCTACAGGTTTAAATAATTAAAGAGGGCTTATAATTGTGCCTATTTCAATGACTATTTCAGTGAAAAAGTACTGAAAGAACATCAAAGATGGTAGCAAGCTTAAACAAATTTTAGAAAAAATTTTTCCTATATCTACTGATAGAAATCTGAACTATTATTTACAAGGTGAAAAGATTCAAATCTGGAGGGAAAAGCCTGCCATGTCAAGGCAATTGAAATACCATTCCTGCAAATGATAATCCAGCGCGAATATTATAAACAGAAAACTGCTCAGTACAAAGTTAGATTCCAAATCTCGCGAACAATGAAAGACTCTTGGAACGACTGCCAATGAGTGGAAAAAGGTGCCTGGACTGATCCTAACCTCGCTTCCAGATATAGCGCCACTTGAACTTTATGGCCATAGCCATGCGATAGCATCCAACTTTCAATTCTCACGATTCTCGCTTCCATCTTCTCCAGAGTCATTTCTAATGAGAGGTAATGGATCGGGCATCGGCAGTGACGGCTAAAGACTCGAATATGAGATAATCACCTTCCGTTAATAAGATAGAATAGGTAGATCAGGGAGCCGCCCACTGAATATTTAGACGAGGCTAAAATAAGGAGAAATTTCTCACATTCATGTAGCGTCGTACTGTCGCCCGCAGACGCCGTCCGACCAAAGGATTCGGTTCAAACATACTGACATATTGAAGTCGATGCACAAGTAAACTTTGTACGACTTTCTAAAGTATTTTTAATTAACTCGATGAAAAATGTAATGGTGCGCAGCGGAACGCGTGAAATCTAGATTGAAAAGTCGAAACAGTTTGGGCCCCAGGAAACATGGTTAAGCATGTCTGAGAAGGGAGGTCTGCGCCTATCGAGTCTATTCTTTCATAAACAGGCCTGGCAAGCAGTAGTCATTAAATTGGAGGAATAGTATCCTTTGGTCACCTAAGTCGACACGCACGCGACATAGTTATTTGAATACAGGTCTGCAATGAACTTGTCTTTGTTACGATGGCTGGTGACTTAAAAAGGAGCACATGGGTCATGATTGTTGAGCAGAATTACAGATCCAACGAGTACTATGATGCGAAAATCAACAAAATTTGTTGAACATTACGAAGCGGCAGATTTCAAAAACATGATCAAGTTACCGTAAGGAGCAGGACAGGGAAACACCTGCTGTGCTGCTATTCCTAGCTGAGAGGAACAAAGCTACGAATGTTCCTTCAGCAGAATAAGTATGAATATTGAGTGGCCTATTTGAAACGCGCATTGAAACGAATGGAATAAGAAAACTAACTATCTGACTGGCTGGAATAGGTAACGTCAATAAAGCATATGGAGCAATCTCCACGAAATTTGCTACAGCACGTACTGCCCAATCTCGCAATGACATCACTAGAAAACGCACCAATCAAATTAATTGGAAGATATATCAAGAAAAAATGATGGATTAAGTACCGTTGACGTATACAAAAAAAGGTAAATAGTGAAAATAAACTTACGAGGGAAAGTTATTAGAATGCAAACGCGACTTATGACATTGATATTATCTCGCTTGGGAAAGTACACCTGAATGATTCAGATAGGGGTACAATAAATAGTCAAATGCGCAGAAATTGGGTGAAAGAAGAAATCTTCCAGATTTATTCGAGTTTCTTTATGGTTTTTCCACGTACTTTCAGTCGCGCATTTTTTTCTTAACAATTCCAACACAAGCAATTTTAGGAAATAGGTGGAGTAAGGGGATGTTCCAAAAGCCACCATATCTGGAAAAGCTACCCCTGAGAAGCTATTTCAATGCACATCCATTTTCATGCGCGCTTGTCGTACAAACTACTTTTCATAACACTAACAAGCGAAAGCTCTCCACGTGAACCAAGCCTATGACGCTTTGTTATCAGAATGCTACACTTTATACATGAAATTATTGAGCCAATCGCCGGTCACTCGAGGGCCTGACGATTGAAAATTTTACATGGAAAGCCTGTAACTGAAAAGCAGAACAAAAAAGAATAGCGTGCAAAGAGATGACCTACAGTAATTCGTCCAGGTTGCCCTATAAGTAGGTCACCGACTCCAGACTCTCTGAATATCCACGGATGACCTTCATACGTGCTGATGTCTAAATACTCAGACTTCTTCAATTGTCCATAACGAATCCCTCTCCCCTGAAATAAATCAGCTTGAACAAGTGATGCAAATAAAATGGTGCATTCTGGCACTGAATTTTGAACGCCATGTTTCAAAACATGTGTGAATTCCTTTTTAAATGATATAAACTGATATCTTAAATGACGAAATTTATTTTTCGCAGAATTACAGCACATTTGTCACCTTCATGCAGAGTTCCATATCAATATATTCGATTACTGGAGAGATGCACGTGCTGTACGTAAATATGTCAAAAAGTTTATTTTGGCTTCAAATTGGGAATCTAGAAGAAACGTTACGCGGTTTTCATCGAGGTATTTTTCTAGTTACTGTGTGTTATCAGACGGAATATTGCTTTGAGTGATCCCGATGGCGAAGCCCGCTTGAAGTCCACCTTGGCCTACCGTGGGTTCCAGAGAATTCTCTCATAGCGAATAATTTTGTTAACAGCCCAGAAGCCATAGTTTTGGCATGTTCATACTTTAAATCTACAAAATAACCATTTCATGCTGTCCCTTACTTTTTAATAAAACTTTTTTATTTTCTTTTTAGTTCGAGCACTCCGAATGGAATGAATATATGTGATTCTGCATCGTATACAAAAAGCTACTACACTGAAAAAGCCAGAATTATGGGCAGACAATTCGTCGTTTTCACACCAACAATGCAGCACCCTGCATTCAACAGTCCTCATTAACGTCTCAGCGCAACCCGACCCGTTACTCAATCACCGAATTCCTCTCCACTCAATGTATTGAAGTCTAGTAAGGAATAAGACAGAGGGGCAGTATTTTGAAGGCAATTAAAACGTTTCGAAAGAACAAATAACAACGTTCAGTCAACGAAAAAACGAACCATTTTTGATCACAAATCTTAGCTCAAAAAATTAAAGTGAATGATGAAAAATTCGAATAGGTGACGAACTTCCGACGGTAAGGGCGAATACTCAAAAGACACAGATAAACGAACAGTAGCCAGTGGTTTTGGTAACCACGAGCCATGCAACTATCTTCTAGTCCCATTGGAGTTAGTAACAGAGTAAATGTAGATGCAATCTCGAAAATTGCCAAATATAAGAGCCACCCAAAGGAACTGGGAACTTTACCTAGCCAGTATGCAAAAGACTAAAGCAAAGCCAAGAACCAATAAAATCAACATTAAAGTTCAAATTTCGAGTAAACATATCCAAAGGTAAGAACTGAAGAAGGAAGAGAAAACAAAGTAACTTTAAACTAACCTCTTCATTGATCCAAATGACATCCACATCAACATCAGCTAGATTAAGAAAGCGAACATAAACCTGGGAAAAGTAAGTCATATAACCTTGAAAGTAAATATGATGATAGCTCTATGAAGCAGGGTTGTGTTCTGAGAAAATGGATGTAATCTTTCAAACAAATGCGAAAAAAAGAACTTACTGCTACCGTCGCAGGACCGGACCGTACATTTCGAACACCCAAACCGGCAGCGTTGATATTTTGTCGTGCGTAACGTTGTACCTCTCCATCCATTTACAAGGCACGAGCCTAATAACAACTTTAATTAAAGAACGTAATAAACGGGATTTCTGAATTTCACGGATGATCCAGAATGACTCTACTACGTACAAAGAAAATGAAAAACGTGATCATCGAAGTGGTGAATCGATTGTGGTCGATTGGTGCCTGGACTGCCGTTCCCGTAACTTGTTCTTCAGCGCCAAACACAAGGGAAACACAGGGTGTCGTCGAACGAGAACATCAACTGACGAATAAATCGGTTTCGTTAATCGTCCCGAACATGACAACAGTGCTAATCCACGGGACGTGCCTATGACTTCATGGACCTACATGGGTTTTCACCTGCTCCGATGGGTTTTCACAGAAATGAATATTCAGTACGGCTACTTGGCTCTTACAGTAACCCCTAGCTTCCCCACCACCCAAACTGTCCATGCGGAGTTCGTAGTTTGAGACCACCTCAATTCCATGGTTTTGATTTGGCAAAGGTGTTTATCTAGGTGTCAGGACCTCCCATTTAAGCAACTCCAAGGCCGAATCACTGCAGATTCCAAAAAAATAGCCCGGCTCCTACCCATATTAACAAGTATTAATTTATCGCTACGAAATTTTGAAAAACGGTCCCCAAACCGGAGAAGTAGCCTGGCTATTTGAGCGCATAAATGATTTTAAGATAAAAGAGAACGGCGATAACTTCATGGAACCGACCACTTTCTAAATAAAAGTTTTTAACTTCACTCTGAACTCCACTCGTGCATAACTCTCTCAAGGTAAAAAAGGATGTACCCTTTCCCGGACACCGCCAACTCCCTGAACCCTCCCTTCTCGACGGCTTTTCCGATAAAATCACCCAGGAACACCATTGTAGTTGGCCAGACTGGAGAACCTCCGAAGTCCATGTCGAAATTACCACCCATGCGAACTTGAACTTACACCGCTTATTACATCAACCTCTGAGGGCACAAAACGATCTCGTCAAGGTATGCCCCGCCCTCATATTTCGTGTTGGGACCTTGTCGCACTTTTGAGTATGTCACCTACAGAAGATTGTGCAACATTACTCCAACATGTTGAAGTAGTCGCACTTTTGAGTATGTCACCTACAGAAGATTGTGCAACATTACTCCAACATGTTGAAGTAATTGTGATTAAAATGTTTTTAACCGGAACATTGACTATTTTTTAAAAGATTTATGTCTCTGATGATGTCTTCTCGGCCCTGTTATGCTTTTAATTCTGCCCAGATTAGTTCTAGGCTCATCTCGGTCATTCATTTCCTATTCATAGCTAGCTTATAGCCCTTTCCCAAAGTTTCCAACTGAAAATGAAATAAGTATGTAAACAGCAGTTATGTTTTCAGATGGATCGAATATCAAACTCCAAGTCGGAGGTAACCACAGCAACTCTGCCAGCGAATACCTCTCTATCACCCAAAGAATCTGCTATAAACGGGAATGTTCCTTCTACGAAAAAGACGGCTGAAGGCCTTGCCGGACTCTACGGTCTGTTTTTTGTCCCACATGTTTCCGCTGAAGGACAGGAATGGTTTGACTGCTAAAGCTGTGGTAGGATCAGTGAACAGTCCATTGTTAATGAGAAGAGTTTAGATTCCGATGATGACGAGAACGCTGGGAAAGATGGTGGATTGGATGCACTTTTCCTCGTAAGGAACAAACCAGAGGAGGTACTGTGCTGTTCGTTGTTTCGTAGCTTCTCCATTTTCGTTGATGATAGCTTCTGTCGGTTAGTTCCTGATTAGTTCCTAAATTATTCCGTCTTTGACGAAATCTCGGAACTTTTGGTCTCACTTCTTTCCCTGATGATTGAGTTAAGGATTCGGAAACTCTTATCCCGTTTCCCAAGAATCCATTCAGCACATTTCTTCCCCACCGTATTCCGTCAAAGCCGTTTTAGCCCGTTGTTTTCCTCTGAATGGCCTTCCGCTATCCATAAAGAGGAAGACTCGTGTATCGAACGAGTGTCAAACGTCGCTCGCTTCTTCATTCCCCTGTTGATCGCTTCCTCTAACGACCAGCTGTCGCTAGATTCCGCCCGCTTTGGTTCTTGTCAGGAACTTAAAGAGTCGATCTTCTTTTCAGATTGAGCGGTATGTAATTCATATTCGGAAAATGTTGCTGGAAGGAGAAGGGGAGGCGGTTATAGAAATTGGTGTTCCTATCGATCAGGGTGGAAAAGGTTGGTTTTCCGATTGTTTTGCAGCTTCACAATTTATAGTTCCTCTGCTTCCTCATATTTATTTTCTGCAAATGTTGAAATTGACCACATTCCATCATTGAAAGCGATGATCTTTCAGCATCTGGCATTCCAACGAAAGATATGGAGGTAGCCGTGGCTAACCACGTCAAAGCTCTTGCGAGTATCCCTGCAATCGGTATGTCGGTCCTAGTATGCTTGAGATTCCTCCATTGAGTTGAACAAATCCCTGCATTCGCTTCTTTTTGTTCAGTGGCTCTGAATGTATATATACTCATTTTTGAGGCTTTCAATCTGCGATGTAGTTGTGATATAGTTTTATCGCTGTATCTGTTACGTTAAGGCACCAAAATTGAGACGCGGGTCAATGGTGGGAAAGCAACTGAAGTCTGGATTGTGCGAGATCCACCTAAAGAAGAGGATTTCATCGAGGTTAATTCTTTGACATTTGACCCAAAGCACTCCTTTTGAAACGGCTCTTAAGGTTCGCGTTGCTGTGGTCGGAAATGTTGATGCTGGGAAATCGACATTGCTGGGGGTCTTGACCCATAGTGCCCTTGATGACGGTAGAGGACTTGCCAGGACGAAACTGTTCAGGTGAGCCATGTATTGGTTTATTAATGCACTCAGTTCTGTAGGTAGTTCTGATGGTTTCTTCATTCTAATACTTCAGTTAATGCCGGTATGATATGTCTGTGCATTAAGAATTGCTTAAGCGAAAACAAAAAGTCCAAGACATCGGAATTAGTAATGTTGCTGGAGAAAGAAGTCGAGTTTTTCTATTGCTGGAGAAAGAAGTCGAGTTTTTCTAGGCATAAACACGAGTTCGAATCTGGTCGAACCTCATCAGTTGGTAACGACATCCTTGGATTTGATGTCCACGGCACGGTGGTCAATAAACCTGATCCGCATAATAACAATCTCGACTGGGTTCAAATAAGCAGAGATTGCTGTAAGGTTCGCGAATTCGTTGTTGCAAATTGTTGTAATGTTATCTGATATTTTAATTGAGTTTTTAGTTGATAACGTTCATTGATCTGGCTGGGCATGAGAAATATTTGAAGACCACGATATTCGGGATGACTGGGCACATGCCAGACTATACTATGCTAATGGTAGGTTTTGTGTGAAGTCGACTTTTTTTTACTTTCCACTCTCTCCATTTACCTTTGTCGTGAGATGTTAATGGGAGTTATTACTTCTTGTTCCTCTTTCCAGGTCGGTGCGAATATGGGTATTATCGGTACCACCAAGGAACATCTTTCTCTTGCTCTATCGCTTTCAGTTCCAGTGTTCATTGTGGTAAGTTTCAAAAAATACGATACTTTAGTAGTGGCCGTGATCGGGTTTTTTCCTAGTTTTTTCGTCATCACAAGGAGTTTATAACTTACGCTTACTCCATATTTCTGTTTTTTTTATATTTTGCACGATATGCTCACCCTAACTGGATTGTCTCTTCCTTTCTCCCTTCTTATTATCTTTATTTCTTCTTTCTTCATGAGAAGCAGCGCTTTGTTCCGGTTAGTGGGCAACGGAATAGATGATTTATATGCGGAACAAGGTGTGGACCCATTTCTTCGAATAGGTCCAGAGATTAGTGAAAGTATATCGAACTTCGCAGTTTCACCTTAACGGTAGTCCTCATTTGAGCTTTAGCGTGAAAAGTGTTATAGCATTCATTGAGATGAAGCTTTTTTTATAGGTCACAAAAATAGATATGTGTCCGCCTCAAATTTTGGAAGAAACCATGAAGAATATTGGACGATTAGTGAAAAGTGAGTCATTCGAATTTTCTTAGAATTCGACCTTGTAAAATTGGTGATTAGGTGCTGGAGCTCGAAAACTTCCTGTGATGGTGCGTAACACGAATGATGTGATACATGCTGCTGTGAATTTTCCTAGTAAACGGTGAGATACTCTTCGATTTGTTATTTTGTCTCGTCCTTTCTCTCATTGTTGTACCTAGTCTAGCTATTATATTTTCCAAAGCCATTCGTGATTTTGCTTTCACAAAATAATTTGGGGAAGTTTTCAGAGTGTGTCCTATTTTCCAAGTTTCCAACGTTGAAGGAACAAACCTTGATCTCCTACGCCAATTCTTGAATATTGTCCCTTTGCGACGTACGCTTTGCGAAACAGATCCTGCTCATTTCCAGGTTTACATTAAGTTCTGCCCTTAATTTTTCTAAAATTTCTCCGTTTCTTGCATATTTCGCTCATATTTACGAAAATTGCGTTGTCATATTCCAAAAATTCTTTACCATTCTTTTTAATTGTTGCCGTTTTGACAGATCGATGATGTCTACTGGGTAGAAGGTGTGGGTACGGTCGTTTCTGGAACAGTACTCGCGGGAACAATCAAAGTCAACGATACACTTTTGCTTGGTCCCAATTCGGTGGGCGAATTCCTTCCACTGCCAGTGAAATCTATTCATCGAAAGCGGATGCCAGTTTCAAGTGTTCGATGTGGCCAGACGGCCTCCTTTGCTTTGAGGTGTGTCACATTTTTTGAATTGAACTCTTCTTTGTGTGCAAGCCTTACACAGTTTGAGAAAAGTGCTCGTGATTTTTTTGGCTTAGAACTCTAACGAAACAGTAGAACACAGAAAGACGCATTTGCACAGGTGTGCTCCTGCAATTAAGTGCATATCTCGGTGTCCACGACCATATTGCCTCTTGTAGTCCCATCTAGGTTTTTGAAAGGAACGACATCTTTATGAAGCTATTTCAGTGAGAGTCAGATGGAAATAGCAGGAACTCGCAATATTAGTGGGAGTAAATTTTGGAGTTTCTGGCTTCTATCAAGTTTCTTTTGAGGTTCGCTCTAGCATTAAAGTCTATTCAGAGGCTGAATAGGTAGAGTCATAAATTTCTGGACTGTAGTGCGCCACTATTCACTACATCAATTCGGCCTATTAGCCATCGTAGATATGAATGGGGCGAAAAAAGCTGTAATTGAAAATCAAGTCAAAATCGAAATGTAATAGAAGTTCCTGAAAAGTAGTAGTTTTTGATTAGGTTTAGAAAAAATGGTAATTTTCCAGGAAAATTACCAAGCGTGAGGTGAGGAAAGGCATGGTCATGGTGGATCCGCGTCTTAAGCCAGTGTCTAGTATGCAGTTTGAAGCAGAGGTTCGTTTTTTCTTAGATTTAGTCTCATGTTTCCTTTTCATTCGAGGACAGTTCAGTTTTCTGGGTCGGTTGGTTGATGTTATAGAGGAACATAATTCTTTTCTGCGGAAGTGGTTGTTCCTTGGATAGCTCTTTTTATAGATTCTGATATTGCATCATCCCACCACGATTAAGCCCAACTATCAAGCTATGCTACATATTGGATCCATACGGCAGACTGCAACACTTGTTAGCATGACAAAGGTACTCCATTTTCGGTTGCTCACTTTTTCGTTTTTTTTTGCTTTTTACTGCAATTTTGCCTGCAATCATTTTCCGCTCATAATTTTTATCGATGAATTCTGCGTAGTTGTCAAATTTAACATTCACAAGCGCTCAGTCCGGTAGCCCGGTATTATCTGAAAATGCATTCGGTGTGGGGATTTGGGGAGTCATTTTTTACTCAGAATCTGCTCTTCGAAAACGAAACAAAACTATGCTTTTTCGAGAAATCCGATCCACTATTCTCACGTAATGAGAAACTCAATCTCGGTGTTGGTTCTCGCTCGTTCTCATGTCTGAAACAACTGTCTCGAGCATATGTTTTTAAGAATTGCGGTTTATTTCAAAAAATGGTGACTACACTTTTTTTGTAGGAAGTTTTGCGCACTGGCGATCGTGATCGTGTAACATTCCGATTTATCCGCCTGCCGGAGTATATACGGCCAGGTATAGTAGTTCAAGTTGTTCAATAAGCAATTCGTAGAAGAAACAGTGTGATGTCCTTTCCAGGGACTCGCATGGTTTTCCGTGAAGGTCGCACTAAAGCCGTTGGTACAGTGGTGAATGTCATCCCACAAACAACGTTATCACAGCAACGGTCCAAGTTCAAAGACAAAACCAACAGGACATGTAGGTTTTAAGGTTTTGAATGGCTCTAGATGAAAAAGGTTCTTTTTGAATACTTCACAGAAAATGTTCTAATATGTTGGGATATCACGGAGAGTATCACCTCAACGGGATTTTGAACTGACCCCCATCATTCCGAACATTTGTTCGTTGCACTCTGGTCGTGATCTCATAGAACCAAGCTTAACATACATTGTGTTCTTTTCTCTAATCTAATGACCCTGCTTTTATNCGGCCAGGTATAGTAATTCAAGTTGTTCAATAAGCAATTCGAAGAAGAAAAAGTGTGATGTTCTTTCCAGGGACTCGCATGGTTTTCCGTGAAGGTCGCACTAAAGCCGTTGGCACAGTGGTGAATGTAATCCCACAAACAACGTTATCACAGCAACGGTCCAAGTTCAAAGACAAAACCAACAGGACATGTAGGTTTTGAGGTTTTGATTGGCTCTAGATGAAAAAGGTTCTTTTTGAAATGTACCTCATAGAAAATGTTCAAATATGTTGGGATATCACGGAAAGTATGATCTCGACGGGATTTTGAACTGAGCCCCATCACTCCGAACATTTGTTCGTTGCACTCTGATCGTGATCTCTTAGAACCAAGCTTAACATACGTTGTGTTCTTTTCTCTAATCTAATGACCCTGCTTTTATAGTTGTCAAACGAGGAGGGCCGAAGCCACCAAACGGGAAACCGAAGGCGGAAGCTGCCAAGGAACACGCATAAGCATGAATTGCCCACAGTTGATGCTGTCTACTCCTTCAGCCCTACTTGACGTTCAGTCAGACTCATGTTCTGTATGTTTATATTCATTTGGAAGGTGACTTTCTATGTTTTCTGCTGACCATTGTATGTTATATGCTGTATTGACTGGTATATACGAGCATTTCGTAGTCGGCGGGTTTGGGATATCTCTAGAACTGCTTTATCAGTGCCGGTTGAATTATTTGGAATCGATGGACATAGCAAAGAGTGCAGTAAACGTGCAGAAATTTGGTGTGTCGCATGAGCTTACGAAGGATCGTACTGATGTTTACGCTCTATTGTTAAGCTTCTCTCATGAAGGAGCTTTTAAGGTGTTGATTTTGTTAAACTGCGATTCTCAACGTGATGGCAGGGATTTTGTGATACACGAACCTGGGCTAAGGAGCGGCTCTCTAATTCGTAGTGCGGTGTTTACCACTTCTATGTATTTGTCACTGTTTTCGTTATCAAAAATGAATAGTCATATTGAAGTAGATCTTGTTTTTACACCGATTTCAAGTTTTGCTGGTAAGATATAAGGGGCAGCCTGAATGAAGGGATGTACGGCTTGCGAAGTTGAATTGAAGGCTCCATAGTCGTTGTGAATGATGCAATGACCCTTCGGCTTTTTCTTTCACCACCCTTATCATTTATTACCTTCTTCACCCTTAATCTGCTCCCCGCAGTCCCACATATCACTCCAACGTGTAATGCTCCTTTTTCGCCGAAAATGGACCCGATGACTACCGTCTTTATCTCCTACTATCAGCTCATATCAATCAATAGACATGGACATCTGGTCATTTCGAATACTCATCAACTTCCACGACATGCATCTTTCCATTGGTGGGTCTAGCAAAATCGATGTGAACTCAACCTCAAGGCTTCTCCTAGGAGAGCGACGAGACAGAAAATTTTCCATGCCAACTTTAGTGCTTCTTGGCAGTGAAGACAGTGGTGACACCTGAGACCCCGTTCACGCAGGAATTCAAGCGAACCATTCTAAACCGAGCAAGTTTTTGCTTTCAGTGAGCTAACAACATCTAGTTCCTAGAGCTGTTTTCCCCGGGTTTAGACCTTTAAGAAGAATTCTCTTTCAAACCTTTCATCAGTTGAGGCTGGTGATCCACCCGCTGCTTGACTGGCATTGTATGGGCTTCCAGTGGCTAGAACCCGTTCTTTCTGCACGGTTGACCACGTCGTATATCTGCCTCAAAGTCGAGTTGGACGATTTGCCTATATCCTCCAACATCAATGTTCACGTATGCTTTGGAGTTCTCAGCAGCAAAGAATGCAACCTTTTGCACTTATTGGTCTCGAGCAGCTGATGCTCCCCGTGCAGTTCCTTTGGAGAGTGGTTCGTGAGAAAAGGACGTAAAGATAATGTGGTCCCCATAATTTGAACTATTTTACTTAGGAGGTATCTTAGAAGTGCTCAGGCCCAACTGGTCAGTGTAGAAGCTTCTCCTCATTCGGACTCTCTCCTGTTCGAGTGGATGCTTCCATTTCGAGATCACCATCAAGTATCATCTTTCAGTCCTCGATTATTATAAATAAATAGAGAATTTCTCCAATAATCCTATGTTTTTATAAAATTGTAATTCTTCAGTTCTTGGTTATTTTTGGGAAAAGACAAAGGGATTAAACGAAAACGGTCTGAAACTTTATGAATCATCTAAACAACCAGTTTGAGATACAGTCAATTACTTCATCAGCATTTAGCTAATCATAAATGAGTCTGTTCTGGTGCCTGGGATCGCTCCGGAATTTCTGAAAACTTCGGAAAAAGGTTTAGTTCGATTTTTTTAGTTTTTATGGGCCACATGCTCGTCCTGAACGTTGGTGCTTGTTCAGCTACGTTTCTGACTGATCCGTGACAGAGAATTCCGTTGCAGAAGACCAGTGGCCATACTCGTTCCCGTGTTGGTTAACTTCGGCGGCATATGCAGGGCTACCTTCTCTCTGCTTATCGACTGAATCAGTCGATTAAATGTGTCAGAAGCGCTCACAAGTTGGGAAGAGCAACCTACTACTGGTCTTGAGCTGCAGTGATCGCTTGATTGTGGTAGTTAATTGACAACCACAGCGAAACAACAAGCCGACACAGTAAATAATTGTTAACAACTGTCTTTACGATGTTATTCACTCAACTTTAAATCAACAAAACTTCAACTTCACTATTAATTAGCCATCTATAAAGAATTGTTTTCGACGCATTCTTTTAGTATTGCTCTTAAACGCCCTCTCCTCGCCACCAGGTTTTTCAAAAGAAAGAGTTGTTTATTCTAAAATGAGTAAATAATAACACTCATAGCCGTTTTATGGCACAACCACCGAAGGACTCACGTTCAACGCGATGGATGGGCTATTCGAATCATCTTGTAATTCTGATCTTCTACAAATTTGATAAACACGAAAAATTTCTAATCTCTCAGGGAATTTCAAGCGTATCACTCCTATAAACCACTAAGAAACTTCTGAAACGACAACTTTTTCTTTTGCCGTGGGAGCATAAAGGAGAATGTCTCACGGCGTAAACCAACTCAGTTCGAGGGATGCGCCCATCATTAGACTTCTATTCGGGATCGTAGTGAAGTTGAATGCGTAAGTGGCCTACACAATGACTTGGGGTGGCCACTCGATGTACAAGTCAGTGCTTTTAGCCTCCCAGACAAGTCTGATACCAATTAACGGGCCACGGAGTGATCGGAACCTGTGACCATGCGTGTGTGATAGTGCGCCATAAGCCACTACACCCGCTCCATCTCATGGAAAAATAAAAAAGTCGTATCACAAGACAAAGACATAAAAATAGTAACAAATTTGATCGTGAGATATCTTTGTGAGCTGGAAAAAAAGTAGTGACATCATGATTGTCTCCTCCCATGTGGAGGAACTCTAAGTAAAATTTACTAGTAACGAGGTTGATGGGTGTTGCTGTCCACCTGAAAGATTAATGCTCCCTCTTATTTTGTTGCATTTCAATCGAAGAAATGGTTAGCTTAGCAGACAAAATCGGGGCAAAGGGTATGCGAAGTGGTGAACTGCTGCATCACCTTCTCACTTCTATTTGTCCATCAAGAAGGAGATTTAGGATCTGAACCATAGTACAAACTTACTTCTACCCATATTTTTGAAAATTTACTTTCTATCTATATTTTGGAACAGATGTCCCCCCAGGGTTTCCCATTTTTTTCAGCGATTGCAAATATGTTGTAATATGTAGGATACTTGTTGAAATACTAATTTGCAAAGTTTTTCTTGAACTTTATTGATTGATTGTTGTTGCTGATTTGACTATGAGCTATAGCTGAGGAACGGCGGTGATTGATTGACGATGTCTGCTGGACTCCACCCATAGCTTATCCCCAACATCGGCCCGCACAGGTTTGATCGTCGTTTCTCAGCCATTCCTACTCAACTTTGAAAAAAAATGGGGGTAGGTTCTTTCGAACTTTACAATTTGTTTACGGTTCAGTAATTCACAAAGGTCTACAAATATATCGCCAAATGGTCCGTTTTGAGTTATCGCCGAGCGTCACTTCACATCTGGGATATATTTTTAGGCTCCTTGATGGGCTCTGAAGAATGAGCTGACGTACTGATAGGTTGCTATTGGCGCTGTAATTTAGGGGAACAGCAAAAACACTGCAGCACATGGACGAGCACCCCAAGTAAAATTTTTGTTTTCCGATGAAAAGGGGCTGGGCAAAGGAATCGGGTAGAGTCAGCGATTCACTGCAGTTCAGCATTTTTCAGTAGCTAACTGTTCTATCCACAGACGATGGATAGGGATAAGGGGTAGAACATGTGTAAAAACTTCAGTAAGAGGAAAAAAATAGAGCAAGTTTCAGGAAATAGGTGCAGCTTGAATTACTGAGTTCAGAGGAGGATAACTCCTTTTGGCGAATGCTGATCATTGGCCCCGGTAGACTTTTTCTTACTTTCACTATATGAGTATTTGATTTGCGTTCTGTCGGAAAGATCGGTCTAAGCCGATCTAGCTGTGCTACACCCAAATGGTGGAGATGCAAAACAATTAATGCAGCATTTGTTGCATACGCAATAAGAGACCAGAGTTGTCAAAATCCAAGGAAGAGGCTCATCCATTCCGAAGTCACTTCTTGATCATAATCCCATCGCTGCGAAGCGTTGAACCTCCCCAGTGACCGAAATGATCGAATGTGTTCTACTCAACTAGCTATGTCAGTTTTCGTTTCATGCCTTCACTGAGCTCCATACTAATACTGGAGTAGTCACCTCAATGGTGTCAAGCGAACGACCGTACCATGTCACAGGCGTTCTAGTGAAGGGATCCATCATTTTATATGCTCACAAAAATTCTGCAGTTTCCTACTTTGACATGGTTTTTCAGGCCAGTAGCTTCCCGGAATGCAGTCCAATTGCTCTCCTACTCATTTCCCTTTTAGCCACTGTTTTGGATTACTCTGGAACTTAGTGCTAGTTTTTCTAGTGTACTCATGATGAATCAATTTTCTTGCTATCAGCAGTTAATTCTCCTTGTGTGCATTGAGCTACGGGGGAATTATGGGGCCCTCTAATAAGAGGACAACGGAGTAGGTAATTGTGATTTTCCTATAACGATCTTCATGTCCATCTTCATTGAATGACCCAGGCAATGGCCGTTATAAGTGTCAAGTGAGCAATCTCAACTTTCAGCGCATCCCTTCGAAGCTGTCCCTTGTCTTTTTTACAAACAAACTCTATGTATTACCTCAGAGATAGGCGAATTCATTTCCATTCGATTTTTTGCAAAAGGGTTTCAAGAAAGTGAATGGTCAAATGAGAAGGGACAGTGGCGTTAATTCAAGAGACTATGTAAACAGGACGATCTCAAGAGCTCCTGTGTGAAGAAACAGGATCGCAAATTTCCAACCGACACACAAAAGAAACTGGACTAGAAATTTCGAAGATGAGTGTTACACGGGTGGAAGGGTTCACTTTCGAGAATGAATGAAAAC